TTTTGGGTGTATTACTAAAAAAGGAAATTTTTAGGAATTTTGAGATTTGCGGGAAAGAGTTTTTTTTTTTTTTTTTTTTAAACTTTTAAAGATTTTAAATAAAAAAATTTTAATGTATTATATATATATATTTAATATTGTATATTATAAAATATGTTTATACGTAATATTTTTATTTTATATTGTAAAGAAATACTGTATATTGTAATAATAGATGGACTATATTCGGTATTTTACAAACTATAATTCACGCGTCAAAAAATCTGATCGATCGCATAGCAAATCAGCCACATGACTAAACCGATTGGATTGGCTACGTAACGTGTATTATATTAATTATATTATCGCGCATTGCACGGCTTTATCATTAATTCATAAATGGGTAAAACAAGAAGTAGTAAATACGCCGAGCTAAAGAAGATATATGAGTTCTCGTCGGAGATGCTAATCAAGATATTCAAGGAGCTTTCAGACCCCGATATACATTCTTGTGTCTTGGTAAATCGGGAATGGTGCAGAGTTGGATTGCCGTTACTTTGGGAAGATCCAATATCGTGGGGAGCACCAATAATAGAAATTTACTTGAACTTTCTGAGTACAGAACAAAGATCTTCAATAAGGAGAACTGGTGTTATTCTCACCAAAGTCTCAAATCACATATTTTGTTATCCGGATTTCATCAAGAAACTCTCATATACCGAGCTACATGAAGCAATACATTCTTGGCTTATTGAACGTAAACTTGTGTCGGCAACTTACCAGGACTTATTTAATGAAAGCTTTGACCAAAGAGAAGCAGACAAAGACGAAAACAAAAGAACAATTATTAAGATGATGTCAAGTTTGATATGTCATTTAATTAAGCTGCTCCTCAATTCTTCTAAAGGATTTGAAATGATTGATTTGTCCACCAATTATAGATGTGTCGGGATTCCACCAATAATAACAAAATCACAAGACATGTTGAAACTTGTATTTATGAATCTGCCCTATCTAAAAGTTCACACTAGCTATGCCGACTCGAGGATTACACCGGATAGATTGGATTCAGCAAACAAGTTATTCACCAGAATGGTAGAGTATTGTACTAAAATTCAATATCTAGATTCTAAAGATCAAAATAATGAAAGGAATGAGGTGAGACAGTTATATAGATTAGTGGCAGTTCAAAAAAATCTTAAACATTTTACTGCTCGGCGATTCGAACTTTGGCCTAATCTGATGGTGACACTGGCTGAAACTGCGGTCAACACTTTGAAAACATTCAATGTGTCTGGAGTTCCAATAGATAGCTCCCTGTTTGCAGAACTTTCGAAATGTAATGTACTGGAAGTTTTGTCGTTCGTTAGATGCATGGAAAAAAAGACTGAGGTCACAGTTCACAGCAGCAGTAAAGGGAAAACCAGGGGAAGGAAGAAAGACAACAATAATAGAGTGGAGGGAAGATTAATATCATCTACATTGTCATCGATGTCATCCATTATTCGCGCAAAAAGATTGTACTTTTATAAGAATAAACTTGAACCCGGAACTTTGAAAGCGATATTAAAAATGCTAGGAAAGAACATTCAAAAGTTGACCGTTGTAAATAATAATACTGAGACAATTATTAAAGCGATTAGGAAGTATTGTCCTTACCTAAAAGTTTTGATATTGCAAATTTATTCGGACACTCGATTTTCTACATTTTCTGAATGGATTGCTGGTTCCAAGTTGCAAACTCTCATATTAGGAACTTTGATATCAAACGTCAATAGTTTTGCAGATAGACCTGATACTTCAATTTGCGAAATGCTTGCAGAGATGGGAAATTATTTCCCACTTTCTCTAAAATGTGTAGATTTTGATTTCGAAATTTCTCCAAGTCAACTGGAATTATTTTTAACACGTAGTAATTATGTGTTTGAGGAGTTGGGTCTGCACCAAGCATTAGGACTAGATGACAAATATTTGAGAATAATTAAAACTCACGCCAAATTATCTAGATGTCTCACCGAACTCACGTTTGATCGAGTTTACTGGATTACTGGTGGGGACGAGAACACCGATGAGACGGATTCGGATGTTATAGACGAAGAAAAACCCGACAGATCATATTTTAGCAATAAATCATTATTAGACGCCGAAAAGTACATTCCGACTATCACTTCAACGTCAATCGATCCTTTCACCGATCCACTTAAATACATATTCAAGGTCCACGATATAGACGAGATGGATACTGAAGGCATGGAGAGAGATGGAATTGAGAAATGGTAGTGGAAATCTCCATAAGTGCCTGACACTATATTTCGCTGAAAAAAAAAAGTAATAATAATAAATAATTCATTATTTTGAGGTGAGTTACAGGTCTACCTATCAAGGTATATACGTATTCATGTTTTTGGTGGTTATGCTGATTCCCATGCTTATTCTTTTGAACAATTTTATCAGTATTTTTATAAAAGTAAACTTTAAATTGGTTAATAAGCCAAATAGATGTTCGTTATTGTGCGTCAAAATCTTAAATATAACAGGATCAAAATTTTAGTATAGAATTTATTTGTATTCACGGTAGTTTTTATTTTATTACCTTCAGACAATATCTTCAATCAGATTTATGAAGATTGATTTGATTTACATCTTGATGGATTTCAGGGTTGGTGAGTAGATGAATAACTCAAAATCTTAATTACTTATGTGCACTATCTAAACATATAATTCCATCTCGTTATAGATGAAATGAATTTACAGCCAGTTTATTCCACATTGTTTTGCAAATTTTGCAAATGACAATAATATAATAAATTATTTTCCCTCTTTGATTAGTTTAAATGAGTATTATATATTTTAGTCTAATGAAATCAATCTTCAATATAATCACCAATTATTAACAGATAAATGTATTTCGTGGTGATTTTGTCTATTCATTATCTCAATTAGTAATTACACTACAATAAATTATACATCTAACAGTTTAATTCTAGATTGTTGATCAGACGATTTAAAAAATAAAAAATTCCGAAGAAAATTAATAGAAAATTATGCCATCAAATTACCCACCAAATTATTATCCATCATACCTTCTTGTAACGACATATAAAGAGAAATATCATGATATCATTATAATCAATCGGTTCCAAAATCTCCAACAAAGCTTGATCTTCGTCCACTCGGTGATATCCTTAGATTTTGAATTTCTTGAGAATACTCTCGATTAATCGAGCTTCCTGGATAATTCACGGCAGCAAGGTGGCGCAAGACATCTTTTTTTGTAATCAAACCTAAGAGTTGCCCATTTTTGGTGACCAAAACATAGCGAAGACCCTATACAGAACATAATTGATGAATCTTTGTAAAACCCTCAGGACGAAATAGTCAATAATTGTTTACCATTTTCCTGAATAGTTCAATGACCATTTCCATGGGAAATTTGTGCGAAATAGTAATTGGGGTCTGTAAAGGATAAATGTCAACCATCACATCAAATAACAATCAATAAATAAGATGAAAACAAAATTACTTACTTGGTCCATCCAGGGTCTGAAATCAACAAAGATTGTGGAATCAAGAATTGGGAGATTGCTGGAAAAATAGCAAGGGGCTGAATTCGATATCTCTTTTCTTTTCACTTT